TTTTGCAATTTTAATGGAAATATTAACTTTTTCACTAATTTTTTCCCATAAAATGTAAACAAACAATGCGTGCACAACGATAAGCAAACGACAGTGTCGTACTTATCCGTTTCTGCATCTTCTACAATTTGCCGATAACTAGCCGATAACGACAAGTGTGCCAATCTCCTTTGAAATGCATGTGCTCGGCTCAAAATTTCAGGGCGAGACGATAACGCAACTATGATTGGACGACAAGTGTGCAGATAGCCTTAACCGTGCCACCATAAATCACATTGGCGCATATTCATAGTCATATTTAGTACTCAACTAAGTCGAAACTATTCTAAATCACAACTAAAGCTATTCGACTAAAGCTTAGTTTCGACTTTTCTGGCACAGTACCAACTTAAAATTTAGTTTCGGCTGAAGCTGCAACTAGGTCGTAACTAGGAAGAAGTATTTTATCAAATTAAGGGAAAAGAAGAAATATGTAAAAAATTAAGTTGGTAGAGGGTGATTTTGATAATATTGAATAATCTCCAATTAAAATTTACAAAGATCGATCCATTTTAATCGGAAGATGAAATTAAATGCGTATTACAATTCGAATAAAGCTACATCACAATTTTATAATTGGAATAATTTAGATAAATTCTCAAATAATAAGTCAGTTTCACGCTAGTTCTTTTAAAGTAAATTTGTGCATAGCATTTAGATATCTACTATTTGTATGTTTCACAGCATGCTTTCGATATACATCGACTTCACATCACTGCGGTTGTTCTGGCTACTTCACACAATTAACAAGAAAATGATATCTTATTCTTTTGCATAATCATGCAATGAAAATAAAAATTACATAAACGGATGATCAAACTTGACATTATTTAATAAAAATGTAATTTTTCCAAAATATCGTAAAGAAAAATCGATACATTTTCACGCTCGTTTTGCTATATCGTAAACTAAGTCGAAACTACTTAGGGCCGGTTGTTCAATGTCTGATTAGCACAAATCGGAGGTAGAAGCTCCGGTTAAGCACAACTACTGCTTTATCGATCACATGTTACATGCATGATGTCGAAATCGTCGATAGTGTAGTGGTAGTGATAACCAGACATTGAACAACCGGCCCTTAGTAGAAATCTGAAATGCGACTATGAATAGAGGTAAATTTTAAGTTGATACTTAAATTTAAGTTGCAACTTTGTTAGTTTCGACTTAGTTGCTGGACTATGAATACGCGCCATTTTGAATGCGAGTTAAAGGGCCATTCACATACAACTTTCCTCGCTTTGCTTGACAGTTCAAACTTTGACAACAAAGCGCGAAACGCAGAAGGTATGCTCCAATAAACCCTTTGACAGCTTTTGCGTTCTCCTTTTCCTCCATATTTTTTATCTGTAAAATAGATAGCAATATAATAATATGTATTAATCATAGCAATAAAAGTTCCTATTTACTCTATTTTTGTCATTAAATGCAAATGCAAGTGCACAAGAAAAGATAAATGTAGACAGCTGATTGCCAAAGCGGGCAAAAGTTGAGAGTTGCCCAAGATTTTGCTTCGTTCTGCTTTGCTTTGCTTCAACCGTTTTTTATGTGAGCATACTCATGCATATGCCTACATCGATCTTATATGTCAAAGCAAAGATCTATCAAGCAAAGCGAAGAAAGTTGTATGTGAATCGGCCTTAAGAGTTGTTGAACCGTGTTAAGAGTGCATATAAACACGGGATTTGGCCACACGGTTGTTTCGTGCAACGCTGTATGTAGTAAAACGTTTGATTAGTTCTTGAAATTACATTTAGGCTAGGCTTTGTTATAAAATTAATGGCTAATTTCCTTTTTACAAGGCTGTTTGAGTATTTAATTATTATTTTTCCATGTTTATTATTTTTAAGAATTGACACATGTATTAACATGTATTGCACTGGGATGAACTCTGTTTGAAAGCGTGTTCGATCCACTCATTTCTTTTCTTGACTGAAAAACAGAAAATACCTGCTCCAAAACAATTTTTAGACGCCAAATGAACTGAAATATCACGACCGAGTGTGCGAAAGTGTAGTCGTCATGCAATCGTTGCATCATGATTGTGACGATAAAGCAACTCTGATTGGACGACCAATGTGCAGAAAGCCTTAGTTCTCAACCCAACTTCAAGTTGAGCTTAATGCTGCGTTTTTGCTGCATTTAAAATGCAACATTTAGCACTTTCGAACATATGTTTTCGAAGAGCGTTCATGCTATCGCATTTAGCAAATGTACATTTACGCGAGTTCGAAATCGTATGCTTTTGACAAACAGCCGTGTTCCAGTCGCTTATTCAGATCCGTATCTATTACGATCAATTCTCACGCAAAAGATAATGTGCAAAAACCCTACTGAAAAGGAAAAAATAAATTTTAAACCAAAACTTCAATACAAAAATTTGAATTGTTTTAACCATGACCGACCATTTGTTTATGTATTTATTCATTTGTCGGTGCTGTCAATTAATATTTCCTCACTTAATTAGGAAACAAAACAAACAGAATTGATCACAAATTGATCCGGATTTCTATCAGCATCACATCGATATTGAATTTTCTTAACTTTTCTTTATCCAAATAATGTAAAATAATAAATGAAATGTCGATCGGCGATCACTGAAACGCAGCAAGCCACTGTATACTCGAAAATGCAATGTTGCTACTTTTTCTCATTAATCCATGTTCGAATCGTGGAAATGTTGGAAGGTCACATGGTTGCTTTTAGCATTTAGATTCTTAATGCAAAAATGGAGTTGCATTTAGTTGCATTTAGGTGACGAATTTTGTATGGATAAATGTACATTTAGGGCCGGTTACTCAATGTCTGGTTAACACTAATCTCCGTTTAAACATCATTATCGACGTGTTCGGCTCCATGCATATAACATGGAGTCTGTAACGTCGATAACGATGTTTTACCGGACATTAGTGTTAACCAGACATTGAGTAACCGGCCCTTAGAGTAGCATTTAGAGCTAAATGCGCTAAATGTGCTTTTACGCGTAAGCAAAAACAGCCCATAAAGGTAAGACCGCACTAAGCGACACGACACTGCAGCGGCACTACGCGATACGCCGCGACTCTTTTTGGTATATCGCACTGAAACTGAAGCGGCGCGACACTTCGCTGCAAATTTTATAATTTATTTGTGTCAAAAGCTTCAAACAAGATGGATGCTAGTGACGCTGATGTAATGATAATGCCTTTTATTTTTATTTTCCTTGGCGAATTCTTCTCAAATATTATGTTTCTTGAATGAAATGCATCTGAATATTCACTCACAATTGGAAATCCAATTACTTCAAGTTAAATATATAGTACGAAATGTTATGTCGTTCCGCTAGGTAAACCGCACTATGCGGCACCGGAACTGCGCGACACCACGCGGCGCAAAATTTTTGCCTAGTTGGTCAACTTTGCCGCGCAGCGTCGCGTCGCGTAGCTCCACTGCAGCGTAGTGCGGTATGCTCCATAAGAATACATGCAAAGAATATTTTGCCGCGCGGTGTAGTGTCGTGTCGCGTCGCCTAGTGCTGGCGTACCTTAAACCTAAATGTTTGTTGGATATACACACCTTACACCCGATTTACATGATTCAAGTACTTGAAAGCAATTCTTGCTCATTGTCTTTTGTGTTTTCTATTTGCTTTTACACGTTTCAATTCTGTTGAATTCAAGTTTTTGGTTCTTTAAATGGGAAGCAACGAAAATGCCAAAAGCAAAGCAAGAAAGTTGGGGAAAATTTTAGTAGACGGACGGCAAATTCTAGAAAAAGGGGGGGACGAGGGGGGGTAGAATAGGACCCCCTCATTTCAAAACTACCCCCTTTTTTTTCTAGCAACCCTATAGTTCTTATATAATTTATTGTTAAAGTTTTCATATAAACGATGAATAAGATAGCAAAATAACAGACAACTTAGTGCCACCAGACTGGAATTTTGAATAATAAAAACGGATTTTTAATTCGGAATTTTTACTTAGTAGAATTATTATTTCTGTGTTGCCGAAGAAGGGGGGGCTGAACACATTTTGCAGAGAACACCTTTCTGCGTAGGCGGCCTTCGGCCGCACTTAGGGATTATAACCCTCAGGCAGTAGAATTCTCCTTTCTGTTTTGCGAAGAAAAGGAGCTGAACACCTTTTGCAGAGAACACCTTTCTGCGTAGGCGGCCTTCGGCCGCACTTAGGGATTATAACCCTCAGGCAGTAGAATTCTCCTTTCTGTTTTGCGAAGAAGAGGAGCTGAACACCTTTTGCAGAGAACACCTTTCTGCGTAGGCGGCCTTCGGCCGCACTTAGGGATTATAACCCTAAGGCAATAGAATTCTCCTTTCTGTTTTGCGAAGAAAAGGAGCTGAACATTTTCTTTTGTATTGATTTCCCCTGTATTCCTTTTTAATCATTGCCTTCTTTGTATGTATTGTTTTGTACAATATGGCAACACATGTTATGTGTCAGTTTGCAACCATGTGTTATTGTAAATATGCGTGAAATTCAATGTAATTTACAAGTCGGTAAAAGTTTAATTAAAGTGATTTAGTATATACAAGATAAACTAAAAGAAAAGTGTGTAAAGTATTAAGTACAGTGTTATGTGCATTTATATATATAAAAGTATGCACAAATGCCTTTTTGTTAAGGAAACCAAGTGGAACGACTTAAGAAATTTTAACAACAAATAACTTATAAACAATGATATTATTTATATTTTTTAGTTATACATGTTTTAGAGGATACCTCCCTTAACATCCTGACCAAGTTTCATTTGTTAATTCCACCTGGTTTTCTTAAAACACAAGGTGCGGCTGACTACTAAAGCCCACCCGAAATTTGAAACGACTTGACGGTACAGACGCATGTGTACTCGTCCCTTTTCTTCTCACACCCTCTCTACCAAGCGAGCGGAATTGAGTTCAATACTTGAACTGTGTAAAAGCAGTCTTATGAGTGAAAACTATCGATAGTACTTTCAAAACCATCAATTGTTTCGATAGTAAAAACCATCGATACTATCGATAGTGCCTTCGATAGTTTTCAAACTCTAGAAGATTCTTTATAGGAAAATAATTGTAAAAAAAATGGGAGTCACAGGTCTGTGGAAACTGGTTGAACCTTGTGGTAATCCTGTTCCTGTAGAGACTTTAGAAGGCAAAATTTTAGCTGTGGGTATGTTAATAGTATTCACAAGATATAAAATTGTATCATCGGACATGTTTTGCAATTCACTTCCGAGTGAATTTCAGTCAAATGCGCTTTTAATCGAATTGGCCGGAGTAGAAATTCACAGGGCAGTACATTGCAGAACATGCCTGAATAACTTCTTTTCAGACATATCTATTTGGCTCCATCAGCTTGTCAAGGGATTTCAAGACAACCATGGATCCTCGCTCCCACATGCTCATTTACTTGGTCTGTTTCATCGTCTGTGTAAACTACTTTATCATAGGGTGCGACCTGTTTTTGTTTTCGATGGATGTGTACCACAGCTTAAACAGGATACTATAGTAACTGAACCTGAAAATATCTTAGATTATGCATAAATGCAATTTTGTAAATTTAAGGCTAGAAGGCAGCAACAACGCAGCAAACTGAATAGTGAAGCGGATCGAATACAAGCTCTTTTGCTACAATCCCTCGCAAAGGAAAAGGTAGTGCACCAAGCATTAGGTGCAAATGCTGAACTTTTAATTCAGTCACCTAGCAAAAGGGTTAGCGTTGCAAATAAGGTAGAAAAAGATAAAGATGGCATGTTCAAATTACCAAAACAACCAGATGAAGAGGAACCAGTGGTAGACACAAATAATATGAACACTTTATTAGAACCATCTACATCCACGAAAGATTTCTCTTTCGACGAATCGAATCCTTGGAGGGAATACAATGCGAATTTGCAAGCAATTGATGTGCTCAGCGAACATTTTAAAAGTCTGCCGGCAGAAATCCGCCATGAAATATTGTTAGATATTAAAGAAACGCGAAAACAATCATCGTGGGGCCGTCTACATAAGCTACCATCGTGTAGCCATGAATTTAGTTCATTTCAAATGAAACGTTTGCTAAAACGCCGTGCGGTCCAAGAAAGTATTCAGGAAACCGAAAAGGAGATGGGTGAACGCGCATTGACCTTTACAGACTTAAAAAACTTGTTTACTGAAGATGGTATTCTAGAACCTGATAACGTGAATAAAAGTAAATAGCATTCATTACCATCAATATAAAAGTTGGGAGTGTCTACTTACACGAGCCACGGTAACTCTTACGGTAAAAATTACCGTAGATCCACGGTAGAAATTTCCGTAGATCCACGGTAATTTCTGAGAAAGTGTATTTACCGCGAATCCCCGGAAAAAAATTACCGTGGATTCACAGTGATTTTCGAAGCGTGCGAATAACAATTTTTTAACAGTAGATCTATGACAGAAATTAGTGTGGACCCGATTTCTCATAGGTCACGGCAGTGTATTCACCATGCGTAGTATTTGATTTTCTCACAATAGATGTATTTACATGCCTAAGTTACTGGCATTCATTCAAATATCTATTCGTTAATTAGTTGATCTTTTATGTGTGTATGTATTATAACTTCTAGAAAATGCAAGTTTTTCTTGGAACTTAAGTTTTTACCAGGGACGGTAGTCAACATGAGTAAAATAATTGAAATCAGCGTTTAATCATTATTTATTACTATTATTAAGTTTTATTTTTTCGCTCAACGGAAATAACTATTTGGTTTTTAATTTCTTCAATCACATGATTTTTTTAGGATATCTATTTCTTCACACCGAGATAAAAATTATTGAGGGCTATTACAGAATCCAACGTAGTCAGATTTTTCGTAAAATATACGAAAATGCTATCATGAAATTCAAATAGCTACGAAAGTAGCGTATACTTTGAATACACACATTCGTAGCAATTTGGATTTAGTGATCGCATTTTCGTAATTTCACGAAAAATCGGACTACGATGGATTCTGTGACATCCCCCATTATTAAGTTTTATATTTCCATTTAAAAATAATGGTTATTTATACAATTTAAAAGGTCATACAGGCGAAACCAACTGAAATGTTGACAAAATTTCGGACTTATTCCTTTTACTAAGATGTCGCTACCTGTGAAAAGAATACGTTGGAAATAATCCTGGTATAGCTTTTGAGTTTTTTGAATAATAATTTTCCTCAATTAAAAAATTAAACTCAATATTAATTATCTCTGAGCGAAAAAATAAAAATCTTAAAATAATTATTATTTTTGATCGAAAAATAAAAATCTTAAAATAATTATTATTTTTGATCGAAAAATAAAAATCTTAAAATAATTATTATTTTTGATCGAAAAATAAAAATCGAGCAATAATAATTACCTTTGAGCGAAAAAATAACCTTCGAATATTAATTATTATCTTTAACCTTTTTGTTTAAATTCGAAAAAAAGATCATCGAAAATTACAGTAGGAGGTACGAACAGAAATACGTCAGTATAGGTAAAACTGTTTTACGACGATTACAACTTGTTGATTTTTTTGTTAAAATTCAACAAATAATGATTATTTTCCGTCCCTGTTTTTTACTGCCATACTGCCAGAAAAGCTTGCAGCTTCTACTTCCACACCTTTTCACACAAATATTAAGTGGACTGTTGTAGTATATCAAAGGGCTGCACTTGGCAGCATTAATTCCCCGATTCGAATAAAAATTAGAGGAACCCCCAGTTTAGGTTTCATTACTCCAGTGCAATTCAAGAAAAAGAAACTGCCGGTTCCATTTTTCGAAAGGACTCAACTGCAATAAACACAAGAAATGATAAGTTGGTTGATTGACAAAAACTTGGAAGAGTATCTTTTTAAAACTACCGACTTGAACCTGGAAATTTACATTTTAAGAGACTTTTCCAAACGTTAATGTCGAGTTATTATCAAAATACTGCGTGAAGAAGCCTTTTTTGCATTTGAACAGGCAATATCAGAAAAGAAGCAGAACGATATCAAAACTTGTCGTACTTGCGGTCGAGTCAATACTAACGTGTTACTAGAGTGGATGTTATGTAGCTCTTGCTTGTTTTTTGTTCATTCCAAATGGGTTGAAAAAGAAAGTAAGAAAACCACAAAAGTATGGTTTTGCTTAGCATGCATAAAAAAGAAGGGTAAACTTGATTTTGTGCGATTTTATTGTTAAATATTATTGAATAATAAACAGCATGAATGACAAAGCAGTTCAATGACTACGGCTCTAGCTAAAGCACTGATTATTCACAAAATAAATTGATTGTTCATACAGATTAGCAATAAAGTTAAAAAAACAATTACTTCGAAGAAATAAAACAAAAGCAAACTAACCTCATCCAGACATTCCCACGACAGCCGGTTCTACGTACCGGAATGACTCGGGTTTCACCCGACCAAGGGCTGTTGTTTCGGCGATTTAACCCCGTTTAGGTCGGCGAAGTATCTCAGAAGTTGTCCGTCCATAGGGCAACATTCACTACGCATTCTCCTACTCAGGGCTGGCATCGAGTCAAAACCTGGGCCAGAAATATACACCTGCTGTGTATGCCGAAGACGTTTACACCACAACTCCACCTCAGTCAAGTGTAATGCCTGCGAGGGGTGGAGTCACCTCAGGGTCTGCTCGGGACTACGGACACACAGACAGTGGACCACGTCGTACGTGGCCCCCTGTTGCTCAAATAGAGCAGCCTCCACGGCAACCCATAGTCCGCCCGTGCAGCCCCACACACTCACACAGCAACCACACACAGTCGCCACAACACAACAACATACCACAGCCACCACAGACCACATAACACACACAACCGCACCACCACCCACACGCCGTCGCCAACAACTATTGGTTCCCCCTACAATCTGCACGGTATGTCAGACCAGAATATTCCGTAATGTGACATCAGTCAAGTGCAACACCTGCCTTGGCTGGTGCCACTTTAGGGCATGTTCAGGTCTGCGCACCACGCGAGATTGGACGGGGAACTTCGAGGGCCCGTGTTGCGCTGCTCGGTCGCTGACATCAATTGCGACGCCCCCCACTACCACCACAGGGAGGCAATCACCCCAGCAGCGCACACAGCCAACGGCGGCAAGAACATACACCTCACTCACACCCCACATCACAACACGTCTCCCGAACCACATGAAGCTCCTCCAATTCAACTGTAACGGGCTACAGAGCAAGATTGAGGAGATAACCGCCTTTATGTGTCGGCATGGTATATTAATAGCTGCGGTCCAAGAGACGAAGTTGCACAGCAATTCAACTTTGTTGAATTGTGCCGGGTACAACGTGCACCGTCGAGATCGCGAGCGAGATAATGGTGGTGGCTTAGCGTTCATCACGCACCACACCGTGCAGTATCGTCTTATCGAAGCAGACATCGACCGCAGGGATACCACCCTAGAATGTCAGGCGATGTCGAGCTCGAAATATTTAATATATACATACCCCCTGTCACCTGCTGCCCGGCAGGATATCACCCTGATATAGGTGCGCTCCTCAGAGGTGAAAACCGTATGGTAGTAGGTGACTTTAATGCGCACCACGATCTTTGGCACTCAAGCCTGTCAAACGATCGTAGGGGAACAGACTTGGCTGAGCAGATAGACGATTCGACATTCTGCACAATGAACGACAACTGCAGTAGCTCGCCAGACATCACAATAGTCAGCGCTGGTCTGATAAACAGCATAACGTGGCGACCTATGCTGACTCTAGCATCAGACCATCTACCCATAGTCATCTCGATTGACAAACCAACCGACTTTGCCTCCGCCAAACACCGGACCTATGTCAACTTTTCTAAAGCTGACTGGAAAGGTTACGCGGAGTTTACTGAAAACACCTTCACATCGCTCCCCACACCAACCGACGTCCATCTCGGTGAACGTAAGTTCCGCAGGGCTATCACTGCTGCTGCAGCCCGCTTCATACCGGCAGTGTGCATATCGGACCCACGTCCAAACTTCCCTGCCGAAGCGGCTGTTTTAGCAAATGAGCGTGATAGCCTTCGTCAGGCCGATCCCGGAGATCCCCGTATCAGGGATCTCAACGCGGAGATTCGGCAACTTGTAAACGTACATAAGCGGAAGAAGTGGGAGGAGCATCTGAAGACTTGCAACTTCACCTCTGGTGTGAGCAAGCTTTGGTCAACCGTGAGGTCATTGTCTAATCCGACGAAGCACGACGACAGAGTCGAAATTTCCTTCGGCGACCATGCTTCGTCGGACCCGGAGCGATGCGCGAGCTATTTTAGCCGGCAGTTCATACTGCATCCTCCGGTGGACAAAGCCAAGCGTCGAGTGACCAGAAGGCTGCACAAACTGCCAACAAATTGTGCCCCCCTTGCTTTCACTTGCGGTGAAGTTCAGGTGGCCATCGGGAAGGCGAAAGCCTCCAAAGCCATGGGTCCTGACGGTATATGCATGCTGATGCTGAAAAATTTGGGTCCTGCGGGGGTAGCGTACCTAACGGAGGTCCTCAATTTGTCAATGGCCACTCTCATCATCCCAGACATCTGGAAGGTGGGGAGAGTGGTCCCACTGCTCAAACCGGGGAAACCTGCAAACAAAGGAGATTCGTATCGTCCGGTTACACTCCTTTCCCCGGTAGCGAAGACACTCGAGGCCTTGCTACTCCCGTACTTCACAAATCACCTGACCCCAGCGAAGCATCAGCATGGTTTCCATAAAGTGCACAGCACAACAACAGCACTTAACGCCATAAACACTCAGATAACTCGTGGCCATAACCGTAACCGTCCCTGTGAGAGAACGATTCTAGTAGCGTTGGACTTGTCAAAGGCGTTTGACACCGTCTGCCATTCCACGCTACTAGAAGATATAGAGGCCTCCTCTCTCCCACAGAGGCTCAAACGGTGGTCGGCAAATTATCTAAGTGGTCGACATTCGTCGGTAATGTTCAGAGACAAAACGAGTAAGCAGCGAAAAATAAAACAGGGGGTTCCTCAGGGTGGTGTCCTTTCCCCGCTACTGTTTAACTTTTATATTTCAAAGCTCCCTCAACCACCAGAGGGAGTCTCGATTGTCTCCTATGCCGACGATTGCTCGATTATGGCGACTGGGAATGGAATTGATGACCTGTGTTCGAAAGTAAACGGCTATCTCTCCGAACTTTCTCGCTTCTTCACTGCAAAGTGTCTAGCCCTCTCCCCTACGAAATCCTCCGCGACCCTGTTCACAACCTGGACGAAGGAGGCCAGGCTACCGCTGGGGATTCACGTCGATGACACACCAATTCCGACGGTGAATAACCCCAAAATACTCGGAGTAACTTTCGACAGCCTGCTCTCCTTCTCTGCGCACTCAACCGCTATTGTCAATAAAGTACAGAGCCGCAACAAGGTCCTCAAGTCGCTAGCCGGCAGTACTTGGGGCAAAGACAAAGAAACGTTGCTGGCAACATACAAGGCAATAGGCCGGCCGGTTTTGAACTACGCAGCGCCAGTGTGGTCGCCTGGGACTAGTAGGACGCAGTGGACGAAGCTACAGACCGCACAAAACACCGCACTGAGGACAGCGACGGGATGCCTCTTGATGACGCCTGAACACCACCTGCACGGCGAGGCGCAAATGCTCCCGGTAAAGGAGCACAATATAATGCTCTGCAAGCAGTTCCTGATCGGGACCCACAGAAGTGGCCACCCGTGCAGACAGCTGCTTGCAGAGGAGCCCTCGCCTAGGCACGTCAGGAGGCATCTATATGAACTAACGGACGAAGTCCAGAGGTTCATTAAGCAACCTCTGGACCCGACAGCCTACAGACAGGCCTTGAACGGCATTCACAGGGACTCAGTCTCGAGTTATGTAGACTCTAGACCTGTGAATGCCGTTCTAGGCACACCACCCCCGGACATTGACGAGACGGAGCTTCATCTGCCTCGGGAGACGCGCACCACACTTGCACAACTTCGCTCCGGCTACTGCAGCAGGTTAAACTCCTACCTGAGTAGGCTGAATGAGGATGTGCCTAACGAATGTCCGGCATGCGGAGAGACCCCACATGACTCGAAACATCTCTTCGCATGCCCGGCAAACCCGACATCCCTAACGACCTTGTCCTTATGGGCAAACCCCGCAGAAGCTGCACGCTTCCTAGGGTTGCCGTTAGTGGAACTTGACGACAACGACTGAGATACCAACCGATCTGGGCGGGGTTGTTGTAGCCGCTACAACAACAACAACAACAACCTCATCCAGATTAGCAATAAAGTTTTTTTAAGAACTAACTTCGAAAAAATAAAATAATTACCAAAGTACAATTGACTTAATTATTTTGGATGTTACTTAATACCGAGTATGCTAGTATTTACTTATTTTCACAGCGATAAATACTTATTCTAAAAGTACTTAGTTTCACCTAACGAAACACCGTGTACAGAAGGACTTTGAGACTTGGCTTCACTAACTACCGCGTACTCAGTTTTTAGAGGCTTTCTTAGTTCACCTCTGTGCGCGACCTCTCATGATATGGATGAAATCTGCTGAAGTCTAGAAAAAAGAAGTCCGATAAGGAGATGTGGTGATCTCCGAAATAGCTGCTATAACTTCTACCGCTTAGACTTTGTTGCTTTTTAAATTTTTCCTAATAAACAATCGCTCAATAAAAAATATTAAAAATAAAAATGTTAATAAGCCACAATAACATTGACGAAAGTTGAAGAGATTGAAGGTTTAGGTGACATGAATATACGTGTAGCATATTTTGCCGATATGACGAAGCGTTGCCTATTTACACGGGACTTAAATTTTAGGAAAACGTCATACATACCTTTCTTTAAAGTGCTGTATCTTGGAAACCTTTTAACGAAACTGAATGAAAAAAAAAAATATTTATTTCTTCCGTCTTATTATGCGCTTTAATTGTACATTTTTTACATTAATGTGCAACGTATAAAAACAAAAAAAAACTAAACATTTTTCTTTTTAATAATTTTTTGATTTTAGCATTTTTAAAAATGTGTATTTTTATATAAAAACATTGTCTATAATGTCAACTTTAAGTACCCAAATGGGCGTAATGGGCTACTTAGGCGTATGGACTCTAGATCGTCTAACGCTCGAGCAATATGATAAATAGACATTGAAATTTTCTGAAATTGTATATTTTTGAAAGAGGAAAGGTGTGTAAAAAACAAAAACAATATGAATAAATCATATCAACTTTACTAAAGGTCTGAAATCATGAAAATCCCTTCAAGGAAATGGCAGAATGGAACTTTGTTGGAAGTTCACATGAGAAATCTGCTTACGACGTGATTGGAGGAAATTTAAAGAGACTAGCAGCTAGAGCAAGTCTTCAACTCCTGATGTTACAACAAATTCGTACACCCGAAGCCTTCTACCAATGGGTGCTGCATGTTTCCAATGGGATGCCTGTAAAAAATAACTGCAACTAACGTTACAGTGGACTTTATTTCGACTATGACTACGTGCCAATTACTTTAATCCTATTATAAGGTAGTTTAAAAGGTTAAATAACATCAAGTTAGGGAACTTCATATCCTTATTTAATCAAATAATTTTTTTTTCTTTTTAGTTCTTATTGTAATAAAAGCGTGTTGTTTTTTTTCTATAATTTTATTACTCATTAGGTTTATTTTTTTACACACCTTTCATTTTTCTTGTTTTAATAAAAGGACTAACCTTGAAGCTATCATTGGAGGTCTAATATTCTTTTGCAATGAGTGTTGTTGATGTTGATGTTGTTGGTATTTCGGTTTCATATTGCTCGAGCGTTAGACGATCTAGAGTCCATACGTCTAAGTAGCCCTTTACGCCCATTTGGGTACTTAAAGTTGACATTATAGACAATGTTTTTATATAAAAATACAAATTTTTAAAAATGCTATAATCAAAAAATAATAAAAAAAAAATGTTTAGTTATTTTTTTTTGTTTTTATACGTTGCACATTAATGTAAAAAATGTACAATTAAAGCCCATAGTAAGGCGGAAGAAATACATTTTTTTTTTATTAAGTTTCGTTAAAAGGTTTCAACGATACAGCACTTTAAAGAAAGGTATGTATGCCGTTTTCCGAAAATTTGAGTCCCGTGTAAATAGGCAACCCTACGTCATATCGGCAAAATATGCTACACGTAAATTCATGTCACTTAGACCTTCAATCTCCTCAACTTTCATCCAAATCCTGAGAGGTCGCGCACAGTGGTGGCCGCGGGGACATGAAATGCCTCGATATATATATACATGTCGAATAGATAACCTCTTATTTTTTTTGAAGTCGTTTAAAAAAAAAATATCTTTTACCGTACATCTACATTAAATAGGTGGTTCTTCGCGCACTTCGGAAATCAAAGATCTTCTTCGGCAAACAAACATCTTCAGAAATTTCCGTGGATCCACAGTAAATTTTTACCGTAGATCTACGGCAATTTTTACCGTGGATACACGGCAATTTTATCGTGGATCTACGGTAAAGTTACCGTGGCACGTGTGTGTAGACACTGCCAAAAAAGTTACTATAATATTTAAATGTTTTACAGTCACGAAACCAGTATGCTCAGATGAGGCAATTCGGTTTACATTGGTTCGAGATTTACAAAAAAACTTAGATAAAAATAAAGATGTAGCAGACGTTCCTAAGCAAGACAGTGAAACAAGAACAAACTTGAAAATAAACAAAAATGAAAAGGTAAACATGGAACAGGTGGGACTACCCAGGGAACAGTATGATACAGATTTGAAGAGAGCAATTGCAATCTCATTGGAAGACGTTGCATTGTCTGTCTACAGTACGGAAGATTGCGAGTACGAACCAAATCAGAATCTTAGACTAAATAGAAAGCAAAGAAACCAATTAAAAAATTCCGCCATTGGACCTGCTCGTGCTTTTATGCTTGAATACGGAGGAATGAACCGCGAAGAAGTAGAAGGAGTACTGAAGAAAACCCATGAGGATTATGGTGTTGGCAAGGCCATATCAGCTTTTTTGGAAGATAAGTAAGTAAACTGTTGTGCAGTATAATAGGGACGGTCAAATTGTTTGTTATAGGGTCCTTACACGGTCAAACTGTGTGACCAAATTGCTTGTTTGTAATTTAATGGTTTGATTTAAACGCGTCAAAAAACCCATCAAATTCCACCACAAGAAAATCAAAATAAAGGCCTTTCCGAGGCACGTAATAAAAGCGGCATTACTGCCGTACTGATGAAAAATGGCAACATTGTTGCAACTGCCCAACTGATAATACATTGCTAGAAATTCACACAGAACGCGATACTTTAATAATTCGCTCAACACTGCGGTTGTGATTGCAACTCGAACAAGCCCTAAGTGACACGGATGCTTGTATTGCATATTGCTTTTGTGCATTTTGATGCCGTTCCTTATATTTTTGGGGAACAAGTAAAGACCGGTTTGCTAAAAGAAACTGAAAATAGGAATCGATGGAGCTTTTTGTTCTCATAACACTAAGAGGAATATTTCAAGTTTTGAAATGACACAAAAGACGGCGAAACACGTAAGCTTAATTTTGGGTCGTAGATTACGGCCCCATATCCGCTTTTCTAGATCAGGTAATTTTCGCAAGATATTTGCATTTTAAGTTTGCATTGTCAATAAAAATATGCAAACTTTAACAAGGAAAAAATTAAAAAATAAACGATTTTTTTGTAAATTCTTTTGATTGGTGTTAAAGCCTATTCCTTTACAAAAACATCAAGCTCTCAACGAAGAAAATTAAATGATAAATAAAGCTATAAATGGTTAAATTAAAATGCGTAATAATTTCTTTTTAAACGCTTTTATTTAACTAGCTCATACCGCGGAAATTTCCAATCGATTTGAAACTAATTTGCCGACAAGCTAGAGACTTGAAATTTTCAGCAAATCTAGTTCCGATCACGAGGAAAATTCAATATAAAATATAAATGAATTCCCTGGGTGGTCCAGGGGTCTTAATACAAAGGCGGCAAAAACACAGTAAAAGTTATGGATAACAGAGCGTAATTTGCCAAAGAACGTAAAGACGCTATACGTTCGTTTCCACGACAGTCGGGGTCTACGTAACCGGAACGACCCAGATTTATATCTGGCCAAGGACTGTCACTCCAGCAACACTCCCCAAAAAGTCTTTGGGGAGTTTGTATGCTGTTACAACAACAACAACAACAACAACGCTATACGTTTTTTATATCTGGCGGCGCTAGTATATATATAGTCGCTAGGTATAGTTTCAGGCGCTAGTATGATGGATTATAATTGTGAATTCTTTGGTAAAAGAAACACCGGAACCTAGTTTCAATTGTGTTTAAAATGGCCAAACTGTTAAGTTATAGGTACTTCTGTTAAGGATTGTATTA